GGACTGAGACAACAGGTTGAGGTGAGAATGGGAGATGAAGTAAAAGCAGCATTTGAACTTTTAGCAGGAGCTGGAAAGGAGCATGAAATCAAGGAAAGACTGGCTGCATTTCATATAGAAATAGGAATGATGAAGTAAAGGGAGAAACTGTGGTGTAGTAGATTATGAGAATAATCACAAGAGCAAAGTCCTTGGGCAGATGAGGTAGTTTCCACAACACACATCTCCAAAAACATGTAATGAAATAGAAATGAACTGTTCTCAAATGAACAGTAAGCACACTGATATTTAGAATATCAATGTGTTTAAATGATATGCAACACCATGAAATCTGACTACTTAAATAGTGGTACATTTGGACTTCTGAAATCTTATTGTCAGTTTTCAGTCCACCATCTTGTTTTCTTTGGTTTTATTTTTATTTTGCCTTTCCTGCCATCTGTTTGAAGTTTTCTATATTCAACTCCTACCCCCATCCCATGCTGATTTGGAATTTATAATATTGTTTCTATTGTTTTAATGATTCCACTTAAAAATTTAACATAATCTTTCTAACCATATATAAAATTATTCAGCATCTCTAACTTCCTCTAGGACAAAAAACTTTAACCACTGAAAACCTATCTTAATTAAAATTTTAACATTTAATATAAAAAAGGATTAGTATTTTTACTACCAATAGTTAATTTTACCAACACATTTTATCCATTTCTTGCTCTAGACTGTCTGTTTTTTATCATACCAACCCTTCCGTCCCTCTGGGTTCACTCAGCATCTTATAGAAATAGATACTTTAATAGTTTTTTTTCCTAATGCGGGTGGGTTAGTAATAAATGACATTTATCTTTATACATATGAAAATGTTTTTACTTTGCCTTAACTATAGAATGATTTAGACCAATGTAAAATTCTAAGGTAACATTTATTTTTCCTTTTACCCTTTCACGGGTATTACTCCAATCATTCCTCCCTTTGTTTTTGCATAGTTACTAATAAAAAGTCTACTTCAAAAGAGCAACAATCGGACTGAGAGTATTCTGACTTCTTTTTGGAAGCTTCTAAGTTGAGATATTTCTTGTTTTGGTTTTGGTTTTTAAATCTGTGGATTTCTTTTCATTTTCCCTGCTTAATACTCAAAGTACTTCTGAAGATTGTTTTTCTCAAATTCTGAAAAATTCTTATCCATTATCTCTTTATATACTTCTCTATCATTTCTCTGTTCTCTTTCTCTGAAATGCCTATTAAATGTAGGCTAGAGCATCATGCCTCTTAAAATGCTTTTCCATTTTGTTGAAAATCTTTTTGCTGTCCTTTGTGCATTCAAGCCGAATTTTAATTTATAAATTCTCTACTTGATTAACTGATCTATTATTTTATTTTAGTGATTACACTTTTGTTTCTAACATTTCTAGCTGGCCCTTTTCCAGATTTATGTGTTCTGGTTTTATTTCTATCAGTTTGTTTCAAAATATGTGAGTACTTCATTTAATAAATTCTTTTGAGGAAACTAAACATTTTAAAGCTGTTATTTTAATATTGAGTTAATTCATATTTGTTGATTTTTTTTTGGCTTTTTTAGCATCAGGATTCAGGTATTTTTTATTTTCAATTTTTATTGATATAATTGACATATAACGTGTAAATTTAAGTGTACAATGTGTTGATTTGATACATTTACATATTGCAATATGATCCTTCCTGTATTTTTATGTTTTGAATCTGCAATTATATTCTGAATTGGATATATCCTTTTACTCTCCTCCTCATGCTCTAGTGCTCAGAATGCAGTCTGATCCTACTGTCCTGAACCAGATCTATACTAGCAATTTGAATTCCTACCCCTCAATCCAATCTGAAAGCCAGGAAATAGTAGGTTTCAGTGCCAGTTCTTCCCCTAGCCTCTCTTCCCTACAGTCTCCTACAAGACATAGCCTCAAGTAACAAAAGAACGAGGCTACTTTCAGCCTCCAGTTGGGAGTGGGTGAAAAAATTCCAACAGTGAGTCTGACTCCAATACTGGCTATGCACGAAACATTTGTAAATCCACTACTTCAAACAAGTCAATCTGGTTGCCAGTGCCTGTTTACAAATCCAGAGCCTGGCCCTTTCCGTTTCATTTCTTGGATATAGCATGTCCTTTTTTGAGTCTAGCTGTCTCTTCAATTTTCTCTATGTTTTACCTGTCACTCCAATGAGTGACAAGTAAAACAGCTTCCTCAAAGCATCTATTTGCAATGGCATCTTCATCAGAATTTCTGCTTATCTAATACATCTTCTTTCAAGGCTTTTATGGATTAAATTAAATACCCAAAGGCTAAGCACTAACAAAGGTAAAACTCTTTGAAATAAAGGCAAAAATATTTTATGTAATTTTTAGTATATTTCTTAATTATTTTTCAGTTAAAGTCACTGGGGAAATGACTTAACGTGGTATATTATGTTTTGATAATGAAAACATGTACAGAAAATCCAAAAAGGCTTTAACTATCCACTAAATTCTAAGTAGGTTATGCTAGCACACTAGTAAGTTAAAGATGGGCTTAAAAACACTTCTATTTAAATAATAAATATAACAATGTCAATGTAACATATGACATTGAACAGTTAAATGATCAAAGTCATTCAGCCAAATCACATAAAATGAATTGTACTAAGACTGATATTTCTGGATATTCTTCTCACAACAAACTGTCTAGATGTTACTAATTATACAATGTTAAGAATCACAAAAGTTCTAGTAAATGGCTCAAATACATATATGAATTACTTTGCACACCGCTATCTTATAAACTTATACTGTATCACTGGAGTAGAATCTTTATGATTTCAATAAGTAACCAGATATTATCTATGAATATCTCTAGACATTTGGTTTTAAGCTCAAGTCCTGGCTGTTTGTCACACATCTGCTGTCATTAGCAAAATTAAAACTAATTTTACTGAAATTTAAAACATCTGAATGCTCCTTAAAAACTTAGATTCCTTAGCAAGTCTCTGCCTCTTAATGAGCTTTTCCTGACTTTATCATATGATCTGAATTATTCAAAAGTAAATCTCAAACCAGTAAACATACAAATTATCTTTCAATCAAGTAATTACTTGCTGTCTATCTGATAACAACGTCTATTTTGGCCTCAGCAAATTCTGAAAAACTGAGCCCAAAATAAAGCCATCAATAAACAATGTATTTCTAATATAAGAAAATAAACTAACATTTTTATTCCAGTCAGCAGAAAAAAAAAGAAGCATGGATTTCATGCATTTCAATTTCAAGCATTTTGCATAGTGGAGCCAACTTTATTTACGCCAGCAATTCTCCATCACAAAGAAAAGAAATTGGCTAAAACTAAACAGTAAGTCCAAAAGGAGGATGGGGCTTAGGCAAAAAGATGAAAAACAGGAATTATAAACAGAATATAGGTTTCTCAAGGAAACTGTATAATCATGCCCTGTGAAAGACATTCCACTGAAGAAAAAAGTGTTGAAATGTTTATTCTTCTTCAAACCCTCTTTTCTGATACTATACTCCCCTTGACTTTTCTCCTATCTCTGTGAGCTGCTCAAGTATTCTTTGCAGGCTCCTCTACTTCCACTTGTCCTTACTCACTTGTACTAGATTTTATCTCCTAACTCTAAGCATTCTCCCTGTTTCAAAGACACCCATGAACTTCAGTTACCACCTGGGTATAGCTAATATTTAAGTCTGTATCTCTAGGTTAGAACTCTACACATTCACTCATTTACAAATATTTATTAAACCCCTGCAAACCACTTCTTTAGGCACTGAGGTTCCTGCTGTCATTGGGCTTGCAAACAAGTGGGAGGTGAAGAAATAAATATTGAAATATAAGTCAATAATAAGTACAACCTACACAGAGAATTAAAATTAGGGTAATATTAAAGACTAGGTGGCTACTTTAGTTTGAGTGATTAAAGAATGACTATTCAATAAAATAATCTCAGGACTGGGGCGAAAAAAAAAGAATGACTGCAGAGCTGACATTTCAGCTATGATGTAAATGACCAACAGTAGTCAGCCAGGTGAAGTACACCTTAGAAAGAGAAAGCAACTGGAGCAAAGGCCCTGTAATGAGAGCAGACTTGGTATTTTTTTTTTCTTTTTAATTTTCAATTAGAGTTGACATTCAACATTATCTTATATTACTTTCAGGTATACAGCATTGTGGTTAGACATTTATATAATTTACCAAGTGATGCCTGACTAGTTTAGTACCCACCTGGTACTGTACACAGTTATTACAGTATTACTGACTACATTCCCTATACTGTACTTCACATCTCCGTGACTATTTAATCCCTTAGTATTTTCTAAGGTTCGGCTGAAACATAATGAGCAAGTTAGAGTGAAAGCAGAGATCCAAGGGAGGTTATTGCAGTAATCCAGCCAAGAGATGATGATGTCTCACAGCGTCGTACAGGCATACCTCATTTTATTGCGCTCTGCTTTACTGCACTTCACAGATATTGTGTTTTCATCAACATCAAGTAAAGACCCTCCACGAACAAAAAGATTACAACTCATTGAAGGCTCAGATGATGCTTAGCATTTTTAGCAATAAAGTAGTTTTTAATTAAGGTATGTACATTTTTTAGACATAATGCTATTGCACACTTAATAGACTGCATACTGTACAAATATCTTTTATATGCACTGGGAAACTCAAAACTTCGTTTGACTAGTTTTATTGCGGTATTCACTTTACTGCGGTGGTCTGGAATGAGGCCAAAATATCTCCGAGGTATGCCTTTAGTATACCCAATTGCCTACTAGTCATCTGGTAAGATGTCTCCGAGGTACCTACAATTTAGATGTTCAAAACTGGATCTTCTCATTGAAGTACACTCTCAATAGCTTTGGTATTCCTAATTTTAGATGCCAATGAAATCATCTCATCACCCAATCCAGTAACCAAGCACTGTCCTTTACTTGACCCTACCCTTCATTCTCCCAAATTCAATCACCAAGCCCTAACTATTCAGCTCTTAAATCTCCTGAGTTCATCTACTCCTTTAAAAACATCATTGCCATTAGCCTGGTCTAGACCTTCATATGTATCACTGCCTCCTTTGCAATCTGTTTTCCAGTATGCAACTAGTTATTATCTTTCTAAAACCTTAAATTTGATCAAGCACTTATCTACTTAGAATACTCCAATAGATTCCACTACCTACAAAACAAAGTCGAAACTCCTGAATAAGATCCTGATCTGACTACTATTTACCTCAAGTTTTATCTTTGGACTTTTGTAATTTTACTTCCTTTCTCCATCATTCATTACGCCAATACCTACTTTTCTTTCAGATCCCTAATTAGATATCATTTCTTTATGGAACCCTTTCCTAACCACTGAAGACTCAGGTGTCCCTCCGATATGCTGCTGCAGCATACAGTACTTCCCCTATCACAGTACTTACTCTACAATTTACATTTGTTCGCTTAATTTTCTGTTACAGCAATAAAGAGACTATAAATTCAGAGTTATTCTCATTTGCTGCCAAATAAAAAGTACTCAATAAATTACTGAATAAGTGAATAAAAGACTTCTTTTCAATGCTGCACAGCAAACTAGACAGCCTGAACAAAATCTTTTCAAATGCATTGCTAAGCTAGCAAAAAAGTGTTCTGTAGAGGGCAAAAAGGAAGGAAAAGCAAGACCTCTATAGCAGGGGTCTCCAACTCCCGGGCTGCGGACCGGTACCAGTCCATGGCCTGTTAGGAACTGGGCCACATGGCAGGTGAGTGGTGGGCAAGTGAGCAAAGCTTCACCTGTATTTGCAGCCACTCCCCAGCGCTAGCATCACCACCTCAGCTCCACTTCAGATCATCAGGCAGTAGATTCTCACTGGAGCACCGGTCCCTGGTGCCAAAAAGGTTGGGAATCACTGCTCTGTAGAATAAGTGAGCATTGCAACAAAGCCAGCTTTTTACCTGGTGATTTCTGTTGACGCTTATACTCTTCGAGCTTCTACTTTCATGGCTGCAAGGAGCCTGAGAGACCAGAGAATAAGAGTAGTTCTGCTCCAGATGGTAAATCTAACAGGAGAGATACTCAGGAAAAAAGCTACATACATGGTGTAACTGTGAACTAGAAATAATACATCCGGAATGGAACAGCGTGCCTACCTTTACTCTGCTATTAAGTAGTGGAGAAGAAAAGGATTCTCCTGAAAATCCTAAGGACAGGTCAACCTTCATGCAAGCTTGCAGCAGAATTCATACAACCAATGTTGTCAAAAAAATGTGAAGCAGAAAATTTAATTTAATGTGATTTCAAGTTGTTTTCCTAGCAGCTAACCGAGGCAAAAGAAAACCATGCAGGACCACATCCTCAATTCAAAGAGACATCAATTAGTTCAAGATATAAAACTGCATGGAAAATGAACTCTTGGTTAAAAAAAAAACACAGATATGGAATCATGAGAGCAAGAAACAGAGAAAAAAGATAATATAGTGGGAACCAAAAGATTTCAGATAGCATAATATTCAGTCTTAGAATATAAAATAGCTATATTTAATATGGCTAATAAAAGAGAAGTTTGAAAATATAAGCAAGGAACATGAGACCAACCAAGTAAGGTGAAAAATACTTTCTAGATATAAAAAATATAATCACTGAAATTAAAACCCAACATATATATTAACCAGCAAATTAGAGGTAACTAAATAGGAAATTAGTGAACTAGGCAAACTTAAAGAAATAATTCAAAATTTGGGCCAGAAAATATGACAGAAATAAAAATATAAGACTCAGAAAATGATAGAGGAGTTTAGAGACATGGAAAATAAAGAAGATGTGACATATTTCTAATTAGAGTTCCAAAAAGAGATAATAGAGAAATGGGAAAAGATAATATTTGAAGGGATAGTAACAGAGAATGGTAGAATTCCAGAATTGTAGAAAAATACCAATAAAAATGTTTTATAGGTTAGGTCTAGCAAACATTCAAGGAACAAATATTCTTACACAAACTATTCCATTATATAGGAAAAAAATGATTTTAAAACATTTATACATACCTGCTTCATCAAACGATGGTACTTTTTTTACTCTGAGAGTTTGTGATCCCTGTCCTTCTTTCTGAACATTTGTAGAGTACAGCTTTACTTGATTCAGTGTACAAAAGCATGGGTGACTACAGGGAACCATGTTTGAAACGTTTCCAAATGTCGCTAAATTCTGCCATTCTAAAAGAAAAAAAATACTTCAATTTCAAAAAAACTCACAAGGATTTTTATACCCAATAAAACATACCTACTATGATTAGAAAAAGAATAGTTTTACAGAATAACAGTAAAACTTTCATACTAGAAGATACCCAAATATAAAATGCCAACCCATCTTCTCCACTGGAGGTGTTTCATACAGGGACTAAATTCTGTAAATTAAAAATAAGAATAATATTCCTATTTTCTCTTAATTTGTAAATTTATTCATATGGAAACTTTAAAAATATATAAAATTAGACAAAACATTCATATTATTCACTGAAAAGTGTCTGGCATATAATACTCTTTATCTTGTATGCTGGTTGCATGCCAAAAAAAATTGGCTTAATGTACTTTTGAAAATACAGAATTCTTAAAGTGGGAGCAGCTCAGGAGGGCTTTGTACTCAAAAGTCCTATATACTGAACTACTCAAAATTACCGTGTCCTTTCTGCTAGTTGGAAATTTTTTTCATTTCACAGTAAGTGAATTAATCAGTCACTCATACTGTCACTGATTTTTTTTTTTAAATCAGATTAGTTCAACATTTGGTGAAATGTCTCAGTGTATGGGAATTTTAATTGAGGGAAGAGTAGATTAATTATGAAGCACTTCAGTTGCTGCATCTGTGGGCTTCAGAGGGCTGAAATACAAAAAAATATATTCCGCACTTGCACCGAAGCGGTAGAAAAGCAAATCTGTTTCTACTCTCATGTGATACCTCCTTCTCTTTTTTATGAGTACTTAGAATTCTCCTTTCTAAAAAAAACTTGAAAATCCTATCTAGATAGGATTTATTTTCTAAAGTTTTAGGTGTACTAATGAGATATTTTTAGAGATAGTTAAGTTTGTCCCAGTGTGGTGGGTTAAACACTTGAGTTGAAACTTTTCTAAATGCTTAATAATAATCTTATTTTTTTTTTTTTATGCCTACAGTACCTGCTCTTCCTAGGTGGTCTTCCATCCAAGTACTAAATAGGCCCGACCCTGCTTAGCTTCCACGATTAGACGGGATCGGGCGTGTTCAGGGTAGCATGGCCGTAGACTATAATAACCTTACAAAAATGTTAGTTCATGTATGTGCATTCAGATATGCTTTTGGATATTAAAAAAAAAAAACTTTTCTTAATAGGTCACAGAATTAATCAGGAATACAAGTTACTATAAATGCTGTGGATAATTTGAAAAGCATGAGGAATATAAGGGAACCAAAGTATTCACTCAAGTTTCAGGCGTGGACTTGTTTTTTTGAAAAACTTCCTGATGTCAACTTATTCTTTCATTTATTTGGCAAATAATTGTTGAAGGCTCAGTATGTTTTTGGTCATTTGCTTCTATTTCTTAAAAGGTGAGTAAAGCAAATACAACAATGTATCTTCTTGCATATTAAAATATATAGGCTTCAGACAAAATTAATTAGTGAAGCAAAAGATAAAGCAAATACTTCCAAGAAACCCAACCTCCAGGAAAGCATCTTCTTCACCATGGCCACTGGTGTTCTGACTTGTCAGCCCTACTCAAAATATCTTTTGTGATTATTACATAACAAAGACAATATGCCACAACACTTTTTTTCACCCACTGATGAAATGCTTTTGTAGAGATTGTGTTAAAATGTTTAGAGATAACTCCAGTCTAAAAATTCAAGGTTCTCCTTCTATTTTAAAACAGTACAGAAAATTTCAAACATGCAAACTGCCCACCCTCAACAATTATCAACTCAGTCAACCATGTCTCATCTCTATCTACACCATTATCTCCTCACCTCTATATTAATTTGCTGCAAATCTCACACATAAACTTATTTCACTCATAAACATTTCAGTATGTATTCTGAGACAAACTTTTTAAAACACAGCCACATCATCATTATAATTAAAAAGAAAAAATTCCTTAATATCATCAATTTCCAATTTCCACTTGTTACAAGCATTACAATTTTTTTGTGTGAACTGATCCTAATAAGGTCCACATACTGCAATTGACTGAGATGTATTTTAAGTCTCTTTTAAGCTACAGGAAGTCCTTCCGGAGCAGAAACCAAGTTGTCCTAAAATTTTGTCCTAGTAGTTTCCTAGTCTAAATTTTGCTAATTTAATTTGCTGGTGTAGTTTATCCTGTTCTATATGTCTCGAAAATTGATGGATCTAAAATCCTTATCCAAATTCTGATTCTTTTTATTAGGACAACACTACTTGTTAAGTAGTGATAGTTCTTTCATCAGTAGCTAGGTAATATTTGGTTGTCTCTTCATTTGTGATAGCATAAGTTGTTGTTCAACACCTAGAACCATTTATTCATTAGGTACAAAATGGTGATATTTTAACTTTATCACTTCTTCATTTTTTAGAATACTTCTACAAAGAGAATAACCCCTCATTTATTTGGTTACCTAGCAGTATAGTTCATATAGGAAAATCAGGCTAAATGTTTAATTCTTTCCCTTTATTTACGAGTTCTCAAAACGACTTCATAACTTACCATCCTGCAGTAGTGACACTTTGTGTGTGCCTGTATCACTATGATTTCATAGATTTAAACATAATTTGATGTATTTCAATCCAGTTTAATCATTTTCCTGATTAATACTCAAATGGTCTCATTTTTGGCTAGTAGTCTCCTCAAATTGACTCCTGTGTCCTTTGGACACTATCCTAGTAATCTTTGATAGCTTCCTTGCTAGATGTTTTGAACAGTCCTTAGTTTCTAACTTCAGTAGAATTTCAGATATCAGTAACTTTAAAAGTACACATTTGGCATTAAAATAAGATTGAAAATTGCACAGAACTTACAGAATACATTACCACCTTTAACATTTTATATTCTAAAAATACACAGGACCACATTTGAGTCAATAAAATATAGTACCTAACATAACAGCAGAAACATAACTATCTGTTGAATAAATTATTAAATTCATTAATTCTAGGAGGCAGAAAGATAGTAAAATATATTTCCCGCCATTAACACCCTTTCTTCAAGGTAACTTCTAAAATAAGCTACATACAGAAGATTAGTATTAAGTTTGGAGCTCATTGTTCTATGGGCGTGAACAAGGATCTTCTTATTGCTATACGTATAAGGGATGTTTCTTCATCAAAACTGCAGAGCCACTGATGTCTTTATTAGTTGAGTCACAATAATCACTCTTCTTTCTCTGCTTTTTACTGTTAGTGCCTTTGTAATGACCACCTCTACTAATCACTACTTCTCTCTCCAATGTTTTATCACCTACCACAAACTCTGGTTTTCAGAGGAAATTTGGCCTTTTTACAGACTAGAACAAACAAAACAAACACTTTTTCTCCCATGTAAACTGACAATTCTGCCTACCGTGTATGTTGCTTAGGTAATAACAATAACCCAAAACAGATTTCTTATAGTTTGGAATGTTTATTTCTGGATAACTTCAGGCCCAGAGTCAAATTTATACCCTAAGTCTTCCAGAGGTCAAGTGGCCAATAAAAATGTGTTTCATACTCACTAATAAGCATAGAAATATGTTTAAAGGATTTACTACTCATTGCTTACTACTGATTGGGACATATAGTTGAATGGTGTTTTAGAGGTCAGCAAATAGGAACCCTGGACACCAGACTAATAGTATTCAGGAGCAGAAAGAAACCTGCTGAGGCAAGCTGTGGGGGCCAGGTGTGGGGAGCCTGATGGGTGGTGGTGGTAGGGTATAAAATGAGGTCTGAGAGGTATTAGAGCCTTTTAGGCCATAGATTTAAAAAAAAGGGGGCAATGTTTTTAAAATATCACTGATTATTGTGTGAAGAATGGATTGGAAAGGGGAATGTGTGAATAAGGAGATCATTTAGAGGTTATTATAGTTATCTAGGCAAACAAGTTGTGGTTGTGCTATAATGGCTGGCAATGGAGATGGAGAGAATTGCATGGCTTTGATATGTTTTGGAATATAAATTATAAATTGTGGTAATATAGGTAAAGGACAGTGACACTTGCGAAATTCTTAATATATTAGGTATTGTTAGTGCTTTTTTTACTTTATCTAAGCAATTAACAAGAGTTAAGGCATTAGAGATGTATGCCAAGAGGCAGTGCAGAAAGATGTCAGCATCTCATGTTCTTTACCTAAAAAAAAAAAAAAAAGATTCCTTGTTGCTTACTCTGTTTCTGGAGAAAAATCACATTAGCAATAGTTTTCTAGGTTGAACTACCTGGTCTTGGTTATTTTTTTCTTGCATTTTTGGCTAGCTGAAAGTATAAAAGTAAACTAGAGATAGTGTGTTAATATCAGCAGTAATAATATTAGAAGTAATTCTGCAATGGAAATATTCTTAGTTTTTAAATATTAGGCACTGTTTCGAAAATAAAGAAAATTATAAGGTATAAGTAAAAATTATGCATACTCCAGATATTTCACCAGTCACATTTACAATAGTTGAAATCATACTGTATTGTCTCTTGCTTCTTTTTCATGCAACATTATAACTGGAGTGTTTTTCCATGTTATTAGAAGTTTTTATTGAATACACAAAGAAAATATAGGGACCTCTCATAACTTAATCATTCTGCTGTTTCCAGTTTTTGCTGTGATAAATACTACTATGAAGAACAGTTTTTGCTTTATGGGCCCAGAAAGCTTCTGCTATGCTACTCTGCTTATTATGTGTTTTAAATTTACAGTAACCTCTTTAATAATAGGTATAACAGTGATTTAGTTTTTACTATGTAAGTACTTAAAAATTTTGGGAAAAAACTACTGAAATAGTCTCTTTAGTAAAGAGACTGACCTCTGGAAGACTTAGGGTATAAGTTTGACTCTAGGCCTGAAGTTACCCAGAAATAAAACAACTCATTCATTTCCTTTGCCCACTTTTCTACTGGAATGTGCATAGGGTTGTAAAAATTCTTTATTATTTGGGATACTAACTTTATAACTGCACTATCTAATACAGTAGCCACTGTTTATTGAGCACCTGACATGTGGCTAGTCTGAACTAAGATGTGCTGTAAGTGTAAAATACACAATAGACTTCAAAAATTTAGTACAAAATGATGTAAAATATCTCAATAATTTTTATATTGACTACATGTTGGAATATATTAACTATAATGGATAAAATATATTATTAAAATTAATTTCATGTTTTTATTTTTTTAAATATGGCTATCAAACAACTCAAAATTACACACACAGCTCACATTATATTTCTTTTGTACAATGCTTCTCTAAAATAGTTTTCCTTTTCACCTTTAAATGTTTTCAGTGTTAGTTTGACAAATGGGCATTTCTCATTTTTAAGTATGCAAATAAAGCAAGTTTCCCTCAAGGTTTTCTCTGCTTATTCTTTATAAGTTTTTCCCAGCCTCAAATTCTCCCACAAAGGATGGATGAGATAAAGAGCACACAATTTTTGACATAATGACAGCTACAGAGAATTGGGATTACAAATTACACTATTTCAACTCCTTTTTTACCAAGACTTGAAGGGCAGACTAACCTAAATTAAAAAACCACTACACCTAATTTAAGTGTAAAATGCTGAAATTGCTTGGTTAATAGAAGCAATTATGCTATAAAGTTTACTTGGGTATTTTGGAGTACAGTATAACCACTTTGCTCATAAAGTTGGCTATACTGCCAACGCAGGAAATTTCAACAACTATACTTTTCTATCACCACCAAAAAGCCCAAGAACAGTGCTGTTGAAATTAAAACCCTTCTGAAATTTTAAGGGCCAGTTTTTAGTTACTGCAAATAAAAGATACGAATATATTCTTATCTGCACAGCATAGGCATTGTAGTCTATATTACTTATAAACTTGAATGACTTGAGTAAAACTTTCAACTTCTTACTGCGAGGTCACAAACATGCCACAAGTTTTTTCAAACATGAATTTTTGAGAATTTTTCTGTAAATACTCTTTGCATCCCCAAGAATCTCGGGGTGGGTTTGGTTCAGTTTTCCCCTTCATTGTTCCTATCAGTTCTCAAGCGTCAAGCAAGCTATGGTACGCCAAGTTATGGCCAAAACGGAAGTAAGCCTGAACAAAATTTACAGTTCAACGTTATTTTGGAAACTGTCGGACAATTTAAAATTGAGTCAGAAAAGAATGTTGAAGTAGAGGGATAAAAATTCTCGTCAACACTTTCTGGGTTACAACTGTGATAGATAATTTTTCACTAAAAAGAATGTTCAACGGAACTTAAGAGTTCTTTGGTTTTTCGGTCCAAAATTGGGCTCACTCAATGACTGTGGGATGGTCAGTCCCTATTTCTTAACAATAATTCGGAAAACCTGAATAGCACCCACACACAAACCCGCCGCCGCCTTCCTCCTAAGAAATTAAAAAAAAAAAAAAAAAAACAAGTTGGGAATAAGAAAGGAGTAGGTAGAGAAAATTTACTCAGCCAAAAATACTTAATAAAGATGAGTCAGTGAGTTCAAAAGACCCTGGAACTTTGTGGAGTAATTTCCCACTGCTGGGGGCGACCGGGGGAGGCACCACCAGACACTGCGATGCGCACATCATGTTCTATGTGGTAAAAACTAATCAGCTTCTCATAAGTGACTCGGCCTGTGAGCTGCTCGCAAATTTCCGCCGGGGCTGAGCTAGAACCGTAGGTGAGACCGGGGTCAAGAAGGCCAGTCAGGAGCCCCTGGGGGTTGCGCGGCCCTAAATGCAAAGGCGGAGACCTGAAGGGAAGGTTCTGAGGTTGGAGAAAAGGCAAGTAGGCATATTGTCCGAGACGAAGCGCCGAGCCGGCCTGGTCCTCCAGCCCTTACTCCCGCGGAGTCAGCGCGGGGGCTGGACACTCACCCTGGCGCTCGCTGAAGACGCGGGCCGCCGCCCTGCAGCGCAGACGAAGCCGGCACAGGGAGGACCAGCTACATCTGTGGGCCGCAGCGGCGGCGGCCAAGCCCGGTAACATCCTGGCGGGGCAAAGGCCCCTACTCGGTCACCGCCTCCCACCTCCTCGCCGCCGCCACCAACTGACTCCATAGACTGACACTAGCAAACATTAACGCTTGCGCCGCCTCGGGCGGCCACAGTGACCCGGAAACGATAGCGTTATTTAGCGACGCCCGCCGCGGAGGCAGCGGAAGTGACGTAACGCGCATCGCGCATCGCAAGACTGCGTCCTCGGACCAGGACTCGGTGGTGTGGGGAGGGCGTGGCTGCAAGTGAAGTTTAGTAGGTGTTCCTTTCTTCTCCGGCGCCTGTACTTTTACGCCTTGCTTTGACGTTATCGCGTAAATTGTTTGCAGCTTAACAGCCAAGAAAAACTTGGGAGAGGTGACAGCCACTGGGGTCTCTGTATCTTTTTTTCTGGGCTTGAAACCTGGACCTTGTTTTGGAAATGAAAGGAGGCTTCCCGGATAAGCCCTAACGGAGGCCAACGTGTTTTCAGTACTCTCCGAACCTTTACTAAAATACATCATTCTTCGCCTGTAGCACCACTGTGAACCCAACACCGTGAAGGGAAGTACTCACTTCGGAATTAGTTACTTGCCTACTAGCCTCTGAACCTCAGATTCTCGTCTGTAATACGAGAATGACACTTTTATAAATTCAGGATTTGTCTGCGTAATCGGAAATGTACAGATGTGAAAACAGGAGTTAGTCTGGTCCTGGAGAGAAAGAGACCGTAACAATGTAACCAGGGCATTAACTGCTTCTCTCTGACATATTCATTCAGGTCTTAGCTCAAACTCGAGAGGCCTCCTTGACCAACCTTGCTGTAGTAGGCCTGATTATTCTCTGCCTTTGTGCCGTGTATGCATTTCTTAAAGACCCTTACCCCTATTTGAAATTATCTACTTTTTTTTTTTTCTGTCTCAGAATAGAAAAATAAGCATCCCGAATCTGTAATCTTGTGTTTTGTTTCCAAGGGACTAAAACAATGGCATAAATAAATTGAGTGGAGTGCACAGTGGTTTGTTTTTAAATTACTCTGAATCACTTAACTGTATTACTACACAATAACTATTTCAAGGGGAAATAAATTAGCATGTTCTTAATTTTAAGAGAATCAACAGTCTTTTATGCTGATTTAGATAAGTACAACCAGATTAATGAAGTCATGGTGATTAAATTATCACAAAGTTGGTAAGCAAATTTAACTTTAAGACATAATTTAAACATTAAGTGGTCAAACATTTTAAAATGCTGTTCCATAAATATTCATAACCTCAAGGTTACTCAAATCTAATTACTAGATTTGAACAGAAATTCAACTTTATGATATAAAATACATGAAGTCTTAACTAATTTTATGGTAACTATGTAAATATTAACCTTTGCTATAATGCTAACATAAATGCTTTGGATTCTTAAGGTAGCCCCTGGTTTCAACTATCATTTTAATCAAAATTGATCAAAGCTTCTTAGAGTTTATTTTTATTAGGTACAATAGGATTTTAATTTTCTTGTTGTTTATTGGTATTTTCTAATTCTTAGGGGAATATTCCTTTTGAGATTAAAAAAACTTTTAAAATGCATTTTTTGCAGGGTTGTTAAAATAATTTTAATAACACAGCTGTGTGATGGGTATAACAATGCTGGTGAATAGTACATTTTCACCATGTGTTTCTGTTTTCCTCCCCTTCTTTCCCCTGATATAGCTGGGCCATAACTTGACTTAGACACTGTATTAATTTTGATAAATCTCCAAAAACTTTGACTTGCCAAATAAGTTTGAAGAATAAAGTGGCTCATGCTGTTATCTTGTTTAATCCTCACAATGCTGTATCACATAATAAGGTCTCCAGTAGAGAAGAATTTATATATAAATGGTTTCCACCACACACACACCCTTTTCCTCAGAGGTTATCGAACAAGTTTGAGATTACAGTTATTATAGCTGGGAAAATCAAGTTACTAAATACTCCTGGGGACAAGAGAGATTTAACTGTTTGATATCCTTGAGAGAAATAAACTGGGGACTGAGAGCATGTGGATTTGGTACTTTTGGGGAGGGCAGCATTTGTGAAGCATTTTTTCCCCAAAGCCATAGTTGGGGGTGCCAAGAAAAATTCTAATTTTTTCAAAATTTAACTTTTTATTATAGTATAACACAAAAGGCACAAATCTTAAGGGCACAGCTCTAAGAATTTTACCTGGTGAAGAAAACTGTAACCAGTACCCAGCACTACCACCTTCCTAGAAGCCTCTCTTCCAGACACTACCCTCCTACCCACTAATCTTGCCTCTAACATAGATTAATCCGGTGATATATATACTTTATATGCATGAATTATACATTATGTATCAGAATATACGAAAAAGTCTGACTTCTTTATCTCAACATTATGTTTGTGGGATTTATCCATATTGTTGTGTTCATTCTCATTGTTATAAAGGATTCCATTATGTGAGTATCCCACAGTTTATCGATTCTACTGGTGATTAGCATTTGGGTAGTTCCAGTTTGGGGCTATTAGAAATTATGGATATGTATATGCATTTCCGTTGGATATATTCCTAGGACTGAAATAACCAGTCATAGGGTATGCAAACTCCCAGATTCAGCAGTTACTAGCAGTTTCCAAAGTAATTATACTAGTACTCCCAACAGCAGTGTGTGAAAATTCTGTTTGCTCACAACTGTACCAATATTTGCTACTATTTTTTTGTTATTATTTTAGCCATTATGAAGTGGTATGGCATTGTGATTTTAATTTGCATTTCCTTGATGATAAATGAAGTTGGTTGCCTTTTCAAATGTATATTTGGCCATTTGGATATCCTGTTCATATCCTATTCAAGACTATTGCTCACCTTTCTTTTAAATTGTCTGTGTTTTTCTTATTGTTTTGTATGAGCTCTTAATATATTCTGAAACAAGTCTTTTGTTGGACATATGTATTACAAATACTTTCTTCCATTCTGGGTTGTCTTATTTTCTTAGTAGTGCCATTTGATGAAAGGAAGTTCTTAATGTTAAATTATCTATTTGTCCAAATTATCTATTTGTTTCATTAATAGTTATTATCTTTTATGTTCTTTTTAGGAAATTTGTACCTAATTCATGGTATTTGTAAAGTTTTGGGGTGTCTTGAAAAAGGAGACTGATATCTCCATCCCCATTTAGATGTTTGATTAGCTACCAAATATGTTGACCTGAAGCAATGCTATGAATTTGCAGGAAATTTTGAGCGTTGGGGAGAGTTAATACAGGAACCAGAGACAATTCTGGTGATATACAGACTTTGGATCCTGTCTGATCCTACAGACCTCAGAGTTGGAATCAGAAAGTAAATGAAAGTGAGGCCTGAAGACTTGCCATGGAACACTACAACATGGTGCAAGAGGTATGTATGTATCAAATAAATGTAGTTCACCACTGCCAGATGGGAATCAGCTGACAGAGTAAGCCTTGCAAGGAGCTACCAAAGCATAGCAGGGCTGCTTGGGATTGAGTTTCTCCTCAATAGGGCCTATTGGGATCCTCATACATCCTCACTGACAATGAGCTAGATAAGCCACAATAACCTACAGAAAGGGACAGCAACCTTACCATAGTCAGGCAGTTAAAGTATTGCATATTTTCTTCTTGACCTGCCAATCCCACCTTTAAAAGAGGAACCAGGCTTTCCCCTTAAATGTTAACTGACTTTTTTGACTTATATCCCTAAAAGGCTATCTCAGCCTTTGGATCCTTTCCCTCTCTTTTGTGAATCGACATGCTCTGTCCTCAACATTCCACACAATTTCCTCACCCACCATCACCTCCCATTTTTCCATAGGTACCCCTCACAATTCTGCCCCTTCAGCCCTTCACCATGCCTGCCCTGGCTCAAGGTCCCATGTTCCCCAGCCTAACCACAACATATTGCCTTTACAGCAGTGGTTCTCAACTAGTGGTAACTTTTGGCAATGTTTGGTGAAATTTTGGTTGTCACAACTGGATACGATTAGCATCTAGTGGGGGAGGCCAAAGATGCTGCTAAACATCCTACAGTGTACAGGATAGCCTGTCACGACAAAGAATCATATCCCTCAAAATGTCAGTAGTGCCACTATTAAGAAACCCTGCTTCTTTCAGAGTTACGATCCAGAACTACATACTAAAGAACTACATACAGTGTCCACCAGCTTCTCCCAAATGTGTGTGTGTTTTAATTCTTAAATCCTTATGCATGCATCTTAATGCTGACAGTTTTTTCCATCCACCAGCTCTATCCAAATCTGAAGCCACTTCCCCACTTCAGCATCACTGCTAGGAATCAGGGAGAGAGGAACAGGGAGCAATATTTCTCATCTTCTTGCTTTAAATATCTATAAAAGTGGGGATAGAAAAGTAAAAAGATAAACAGGGCTAGAATCTTGCTCTATTTTGTTCTCAGTCTCTTGTAAACCCATCTTCCAAATATTTCAGCAATATGAACATGCTTCATTTTAGCTTCTTTGCCACCATAACTTTACTACTCTTTTCCTAACACCTCTAATGTTCCTTTTCTTTGTCTTTGGGTAGCTTGCTGGAAATACTTTTGTCTGATATCAGTATAGATAGATAGATAGATAGATAGATAAATAGATAGATAGATAGAAAGAACTTTTGTCTGACATAATATATATTTATATATCAGGTTTCTGTGAAATTTTACACCAATTATTTGCTCTTTCTAAAAATATCCAGCCCTTTACTTTTTAGCCTTTTTTTTTTCAAGAGGTTGAATTGAGTCAATTCTAGTATTAATTTTGGCTAGGCTATATTTACCTCTGGACACAAGCAGCTATAGAGAAATTGAAATGGGAGGAAAAGAATCCTGTCTCTGCCCTGTTTCCTGGTTAATGAGCCAGCTTTGGAGAGAGGAGGCCAAAGCATGGTTTGTAACAAGCTGAAAATATGTCCTGGAAAGCTGAGGCCTAAATTGTGCCCATGAAATGGTAAACAAGCCTGACTGTAGCTTTGGCTTCTTTACAATAACGATTAAATCAATTGAATAATTTCACATTTCTCTTTGTACTTAAACAGAAGTAGACCGTTAAGAGCCACGAGACTTCTCCAAAGAATAGGAGTAAATGGAAGAATTTAATAAATAGAAAAGA